TCAGTCTGAGCTGTAGTTGTCAGAGTGTCTCAGTCTGAGCTGCAGTTATCATAGTCTCTCAGTCTGAGCTGTAGTTATCAGCCTCTCAGTCTGAGCTGTAGATATCAGAGCCTCTCAGTCTGAGCTGTAGTTGTCAGCCTCTCAGTCTGAGCTGTAGTTATCAGCCTCTCAGAGCCTCTCAGTCTGAGCTGTAGTTATCAGAGCCTCTCAGTCTGAGCTGTAGTTATCAGCCTCTCAGTCTGAGCTGTAGTTATCTCTCTCACTCTGAGCTGTAGTTATCAGAGCCTCTCAGTCTGAGCTGTAGTTATCAGAGCCTCTCAGTCTGAGCTGTAGTTATCAGAGCCTCTCAGTCTGAGCTGTAGTTATCAGAGCCTCTCTGTCTGAGCTGTAGTTATCAGAGCCTCTCAGTCTGAGCTGTAGTTATCAGGGCCTCTCAGTCTGAGCTGTAGTTATCAGAGCCTCTCAGTCTGAGCTGTAGTTATCAGAGCCTCTCAGTCTGAGCTGTAGATATCAGAGCCTCTCAGTCTGAGCTGTAGTTATCAGCCTCTCAGTCTGAGCCTCTCAGTCTGAGCTGTAGTTACCAGAGCGTCTCAGTCTGAGCTGTAGTTATCAGAGCCTCTCAGTCTGAGCTGTAGTTATCAGAGCCTCTCAGTCTGAGCTGTAGTTATCAGCCTCTCAGTCTGAGCTGTAGTTATCAGAGCCTCTCAGTCTGAGCTGTAGTTATCAGGGCCTCTCAGTCTGAGCTGTAGTTATCAGCCTCTCAGTCTGAGCTGTAGTTATCAGAGCCTCTCAGTCTGAGCTGTAGTTATCAGAGCCTCTCAGTCTGAGCTGTAGTTACCAGCGCCTCTCAGTCTGAGCTGTAGTTATCAGAGCCTCTCAGTCTGAGCTGTAGTTATCAGCCTCTCAGTCTGAGCTGTAGTTATCAGAGCCTCTCAGTCTGAGCTGTAGTTATCAGCCTCTCAGTCTGAGCTGTAGTTATCAGAGCCTCTCAGTCTGAGCTGTAGTTACCAGAGCCTCTCAGTCTGAGCTGTAGTTATCAGAGCCTCTCAGTCTGAGCTGTAGTTATCAGCCTCTCAGTCTGAGCTGTCAATATCAGAGCCTCTCAGTCTGAGCTGTAGTTACCAGCGCCTCTCAGTCTGAGCTGTAGTTATCAGAGCCTCTCAGTCTGAGCTGTAGTTACCAGAGCCTCTCAGTCTGAGCTGTAGTTATCAGAGCCTCTCAGTCTGAGCTGTAGTTATCAGCCTCTCAGTCTGAGCTGTCAATATCAGAGCCTCTCAGTCTGAGCTGTAGTTATCAGAGCCTCTCAGTCTGAGCTGTAGTTATCAGAGCCTCTCAGTCTGAGCTGTAGTTATCAGAGCCTCTCAGTCTGAGCTGTAGTTATCAGAGCCTCTCAGTCTGAGCTGTAGTTATCAGCCTCTCAGTCTGAGCTGTAGTTATCAGCCTCTCAGTCTGAGCTGTAGTTATCAGCCTCTCAGTCTGAGCTGTAGTTATCAGAGCCTCTCAGTCTGAGCTGTAGTTATCAGCCTCTCAGTCTGAGCTGTAGATATCAGAGCCTCTCAGTCTGAGCTGTAGTTGTCAGAGTGTCTCAGTCTGAGCTGCAGTTATCATAGTCTCTCAGTCTGAGCTGTAGTTATCAGCCTCTCAGTCTGAGCTGTAGATATCAGAGCCTCTCAGTCTGAGCTGTAGTTGTCAGCCTCTCAGTCTGAGCTGTAGTTATCAGCCTCTCAGAGCCTCTCAGTCTGAGCTGTAGTTATCAGAGCCTCTCAGTCTGAGCTGTAGTTATCAGCCTCTCAGTCTGAGCTGTAGTTATCTCTCTCACTCTGAGCTGTAGTTATCAGAGCCTCTCAGTCTGAGCTGTAGTTATCAGAGCCTCTCAGTCTGAGCTGTAGTTATCAGAGCCTCTCAGTCTGAGCTGTAGTTATCAGAGCCTCTCTGTCTGAGCTGTAGTTATCAGAGCCTCTCAGTCTGAGCTGTAGTTATCAGGGCCTCTCAGTCTGAGCTGTAGTTATCAGAGCCTCTCAGTCTGAGCTGTAGTTATCAGAGCCTCTCAGTCTGAGCTGTAGATATCAGAGCCTCTCAGTCTGAGCTGTAGTTATCAGAGCCTCTCAGTCTGAGCTGTAGTTATCAGAGCCTCTCAGTCTGAGCTGTAGTTATCAGCCTCTCAGTCTGAGCTGTAGTTATCAGAGCCTCTCAGTCTGAGCTGTAGTTATCAGCCTCTCAGTCTGAGCTGTAGTTATCAGAGCCTCTCAGTCTGAGCTGTAGTTATCAGAGCCTCTCAGTCTGAGCTGTAGTTATCAGAGCCTCTCAGTCTGAGCTGTAGTTATCAGGGCCTCTCAGTCTGAGCTGTAGTTATCAGAGCCTCTCAGTCTGAGCTGTAGTTATCATACAGAGCCTCTCAGTCTGAGCTGTAGTTATCAGAGCCTCTCAGTCTGAGCTGTAGTTATCTCTCTCAGTCTGAGCTGTAGTTACCAGAGCCTCTCAGTCTGAGCTGTAGTTACCAGAGCCTCTCAGTCTGAGCTGTAGTTATCAGAGCCTCTCAGTCTGAGCTGTAGTTATCAGGGCCTCTCAGTCTGAGCTGTAGTTATCAGAGCCTCTCAGTCTGAGCTGTAGTTATCAGAGCCTCTCAGTCTGAGCTGTAGTTATCAGAGCCTCTCAGTCTGAGCTGTAGTTATCAGAGCCTCTCAGTCTGACCTGTAGTTATCAGAGCCTCTCAGTCTGAGCTGTAGTTACCAGAGCCTCTCAGTCTGAGCTGTAGTTATCAGAGCCTCTCAGTCTGAGCTGTAGTTATTAGGGCCTCTCAGTCTGAGCTGTAGTTATCAGAGCCTCTCAGTCTGAGCTGTAGTTATCAGAGCCTCTCAGTCTGAGCTGTAGTTATCAGAGCCTATTAACTCTTTTGACTCTTTTTTAATCTGTTAAGCCCTGAGCCTGTTTTTCAGGTCTCAGGATCTAAAATGACATTCCCAGAACAAATGACTATAACTTCACTTCTAAAAGGGTTAAATTAATAATCTTTTCTCTCAAAGCAATGATAAACCTGTGAGTTGGATGTAGAATCAATATAGATGTTTTTATTTTAAAGGGGACCTATCATGCAAAATGCACTTGTGTACGTCTTTTCTACATGAATATGTGTCCCCGGTGTTCCAGGGAACTCACCAAGTGTCAGAAAACACAACCCTCTCTATTTTCCTCCATACCCAAATCTCTAAAAAAGGGGCTGCAAAGGATCTGATAAAAACTGATCCAGATTTGAACACTTCACTGACGTCAGGACGGTGGCGCTACGGCTATTGGGCCAACTCTCCACCTATCAGGGTAATGTGGGGTTGGGCCACGGCCGGCCATTGCCGCTCGAAAGCCCTGGAGACGCTGTAGTACATATGCCAGGCCTGTAAGTGGCGCTGTAGTCTGCCACAAAAGCAGCGAAGAAGACTTCCCGCCCATAGTTACCATGGTTACCCTTCTGTTTATTCTCCGCTGTGGCTTTCTCTCTCCCTCCCCGAGGCAAGCGTTTGCTCCTGCTGCTTTAATTCAATGCAATCCCTCCCCGTCGAGGCAAGCACTGTAATTCTCTCCGGTTAGTCCACCAGCAGATGACAAACACCCACCTCTCCGCCTCTTCCAAGGAACGAGGGGACCGTGCGGCAGAGTTTCAGTTTCTTTCGCCGGTCAAGATGTCCATTAAAGTTTAAATCTTCCGGACAAAATGATAAAAGTGCCGGTCAAAGGTCTTCTTTGTTATTTATTGAGCTTTAAAACAAATGAATAACGACTCTATATAATAAAACACGGAGGACGGAGATCTCTTTTTCTCCCCCTCTTCTGACAGCCCAGCAGCTGATCAGAGCACGTCTCCCCATCTCCTGCAGGGGGGCGTGGTCAGCTGCAGCTCACAGAATCAGCCCCCTGCAAAAACAGGGCTAGAAAGAGCAAATAGAGCGAAATGAGGCATGGCTAAAACGCAGGATCTGTTTGGTATTTTGAAAAAAAAAACTATATTTATATACTTTATATAGGTATGGCCCTACAATATATTGTTCAAATATAGCATGATAGGTGTCCTTTAAAGTAAATTCAGATTGAACATAGTAAAAAACTGTAAATTATAGTGTCCGTCCAAAGATTCTTTTTTACTTATAGTGAAAACTACCCTTGGATGATGGGTTAGTAGACTAAAAGCTTTAGGAATCCAAAGTACAACATATAATAAGTACCCTGTATCAAGATTGATGCAAAACAAGTGACATTTGACCTTTTTAGAGAGGTTTAGAAAAAACCCCACTTCTGGGGTCATTTGGGTGGATTTGACCTCTCTCTGGCCCCCCTCGTTCGATTTTGAACCGTTAGAAAATATAGAATCGAGGGGGAGTTCCTAAAATCCACCTACGCGTTACCAAATAAGGAGTGAGAGTGATGCGTACGCAGCTTGCCCAAACCCAAAGCTATGTTACCTCTGAAAACTGAAACCTAGGCTTATTGCCATAAATATGAAGATGGATTATCAGTAATCATTTCAAAGTGACACAGACACATTGGATTAACCTTCAGCAGCGTTTTGTATCGTTTTAATGCCATTGAACACAACTTTTGATCAGAAACAGCAAAAGGTAAGACATATTGCCGTTTTGGCTCAGTAAAGCTACGTTGTGTGTTGTCTGGATTTGCTTTCGCTGCGGTGAGTTTTGATCGCACCGTGACGATCTGTGGAATCTCAGCTTTAATCTGATATCTGGTTTGTGCAGATCCGATAAGTAATAACTGTACTTTTACTTAAATAAGGTCTGAATTGCGGACTTTAACTACTAGAGGAGCATTTCCATCCTATAGGCGCAGAGTAGCTGTGATTGATCCCCAAAAGAATTCATAGTTTACAATCTGGCTGAACTGGAAGAGGTATGCAAGTATATAAACAAAGGCATTGATTAGGGCTGCAACACTACTCAACTTGTAAAGGTGATTAGTTTCACAGTTTTTCTGACTGTGCTTCCTGTTTCCTGCAGACGTCCAGCAGCTGCTGGTTAAAGAAGAGGTTCCCCCTGAGCAGCAGGAGTGGAGCTCCAGTCTGGACCAGGAGGACCCAGAGCCCCCCCCACACATTAAAGAGGAACAGGAGGAACTCTGGATCAGTCAGGAGGGAGAGCAGCTTCAAGGGCTGGAGGAGGCTGATATCATTGAGTTCATCTTCACTCCTGTCCCTGTGAAGAGTGAAGATGATGAAGAGAAACCTCAGTCCTCTCAGCCTCATCAAAGACAAACTGAACACCTGGAAACAGAAGCTGATGGAGAGGACTGTGGAGGACCAGAACCAGCCAGGAACTCAGATCCAGAGAGACACTTACAACCAGAGACTGAGGACAACCCTGGAGACTCTTCTGAACCTGAGACTGAGGACAACCCTGGAGACTCTTCTGAACCTGAGACTGAGGACAATCCTGGAGACTCTTCTGAACCAGAGACTGAGGACAATCCTGGAGACTCTTCTGAACCAGACACTGAAGACAGTGCTAGTTGGAGGGAGACCGGAGAACCTCAGTCAGGTTCAAACTCTCAGGAAAATAAACAAAACCCTGTCAGTGATTCAAGGCGTAGTGCTGGAGAGAAACGCTTTAGGTGCTCTCAGTGCAGGAAAAGATTTGTCCGCAAGTTAGGTCTGAAAGTTCACATGAGAGTTCACACAGGAGAGAAACCATTCAGCTGCTCAGTCTGTAAGAAAGCATTTTCAGTGAGAGGTCAGTTAAAGAGCCACATGGCAGTTCATACTGCAGAGAAACCATACAGCTGCTCAGTCTGTGAGAAATCATTTAAACAGGAAAGAAGTTTAAATAGACACATGATAGAGCACACTGCAGTGAAACCATACCGCTGCTCAGTCTGTAAGAAATATTTTACAATAAAGGGAAATTTAACAATTCACATGAGAGTTCATACAGGAGAGAAACCATATGGCTGCTCAGTCTGTGAGAAATATTTTACAATAAAGTCAGGTTTAATAAGTCATATGAGAGTTCATACAGGAGAGAAACCATATGGCTGCTCAGTCTGTGAGAAATCATTTACACAGGCTAATAGTTTAAATAGACACATGAGCGTTCATACAGGAGAGAAACCATACAGCTGCTCAGTCTGTAATAAATCGTTTGCACAGGGTAATAGTTTAAAGATACACATGAGGACGCACACAACCAATCAGCCGCAGTGTTTCAGACTACAGATGGATGACCGAGCTACATCTGATGAGACACGTGATGAGGCCGAAGTGACTGATGATCGGAAAGATTCCCTCAGTCACTTTTAAAATCTCTAAAGAGTAACAAAGGTCCTGTCAGTGCTATAAGACGCATCACTAGCAAGCTACCAGTCAGTGATCTGAGTAGGGCTGCTCAATTAATCGTATTTTAATCGCAATTACGATTTTGGCTTGCAACGATTATGAAAACAACAAAATCGAAATAAAACGATTATTTATTTAAACCTAGCACTGAAAGATATGGATGTTATGTGACAGTATTTCTGAGGAAAAGTCAGCTGAAATGGTGGCATAGTTGCCACTGCATTACGTGTCGACAGCATGTTTGAACGTATTTGCATCAGTAGATGTGGCTGTTTGGCCACTGACGTTGCCATAACAACACCTGCATTTAAATGTGCAACCTCTTTTTGTGATTGAAATTATAATTCTTCTGAATGATATTCCTACTGACAGCTAGTTTCTATGTGAACATTATGAGATGGACAGCCAGAGAGAATAAATGAAAAACAGTTATGAAATACTATATGACAGTAAAACAAGAATTCAGTTTAAAAGTGATTTGTAAAATATCCATAAAGAAAAATCTGTTTACAGTTCTGCTTCATATGGGTGTTGAGAGATGGATCCATAGATCTCAAAGTGCACCAGATTGTTGCTTTCAGCTTCAATATTTAAAAAAAGATCTTGCCGGGGGAGTCCTAGAGGAGGTGAGGACCCCCTAGAGGAGGTGAGGACCCCCTAGAGGAGGTGAGGACCCCCCCCAAAAGTCTAGGGCCGGCCCTGACCCTGTAATAGAAACATGTGATGGAGCATCACTAACCTGACTCAGATGGTTTGTTTCATCATCTAGGAACGCTCCATTGGAAGCCATTTGGAAAAGTATTACAAAGATACTTGGCAGGTGATTGGATCGATCTGTCTATCACCTTCTATCATGGGCCACTTCTGATTGGTTAACAATGGCTGGTACATGTGGAGCACAGCACTTCTGATTGGTGTGGATGACTGACACACAAGATGTTAAAGAAAAAGGTGCGCTCTCTGTCTAATATGTTCGCTAGCTGTTAGTGTTGTTGCATAGCAACCACCTCGCACTATGTTTCGTGCAGAAGGCAACGGAGGGACTATTTTATTTTGAACATCATTATTTACTAATAAAAACTATTTAAATTAGAGTGTGTATTTTTCTTTCATATTGCCACACTTGATAACCGTTTTATAAAAGCAATAGCTCACATCAGGCCGTGAGATATGGTCATTATCTCACATCTGAGGGGCTGAACCACGCCCCTTAGCTGTGAGATAATGACCATATACCACGGCCTGTCGTGAGCTATTGCTTAAGTATGCACCACGACACCAAATCAAATTCCTCGTACGTGAACCTTCCTGGTGATAAACCTGATTCTGATCCTAACAAACTCTGTAAGGGTCTGTCTAGTATCGAGCGCTCCATGAGTTTCCATTTAGAAAAACATTCATTATGACACCAGAGCATCAGCGGCCTTATCTGTGCCGCGAGACAATCATCTTTCAGGTTGGGAAAGCCCATCCCTCCGCTTTGCTTTGGCAGCTGTGGAGTTTTGTATCTCCTATGAATTGGTAATGACATAAACAAGTAAAGAAGGTCAAATATTTGTTTTTATTGTCGTAATTCTGTTTCCAAGATCCAGGGGCAAAGAGGCCCATCGATGTAGATGGCCTTTTCTCTGTGAATGTTCATAGTTATCAGAGTACAGAGACATGACTTTGGTTCATTTTACACCTACGTATGTCCCGGACGTACAAAGTGTGGACCCAAAAGCATGGATGCAGCTATTTTTAATAAAGTGGGGTGCCAGTCTGAATCAGGACAAATAATCATCTTAAATATTCAACATAAATGGTTCAGTCAAACCAAACACATTACATAACGTGGGAAATATCTCCCCCATCACCGAAATGCAATACAAATTAGATCACTCATACATTTCCTTTTTCGTGTGATGCATATTTCATGGGGGAAAACAGGCATATAAGATCAGTGTGTGTGCAGTGTGTGGTGAAAACAGTCAACATATACAGTTCAATCCGCTTTAGCAAAGACTCCAGCTGGTAACAACCCCAACATGAGTTCAGTCCAGTTCACGAACAAAGACTCCGCTCCGGGTTTTCCCACGGATCCTCCCGAACCCAAAATACAGCTCTTTCACAGAAAAGGCAAACTGCGGCAGAACGAGCCCTCAGATCGAGTGCTGCCACCAAGACATGTTCAATATGCTTTCTCTTTGTGCTACAGGGCCACACAGGGCCGGCCCTAGACATTTTGGTGCCCTAGGCGAGATTATGATTTGGCGCCCCCCCCCCCCCCCTGCAAGCAATACACGATAGAATATATAAAGAATAAATGAAAAATCTCTACAAAAGACCAACACACTACAAAAACTGAAACGTATTGACATGTTGGTTATATACATAAAGAAGGTTTCAAATGTATTCAGTATTGTATGAACATCTTTTAATTGGCGGGTGGACATCACATCCTCTAGGGGGGTCCGGGGGTCTGCCCCCCCGGAAAGATTTGTTTGAACATTTGAAAGTAAAATGCTTCAATCTGGTGCACTTTGAGCAGAATGACTAGAGACCTGATCTAGGGGGCACAACTCTAAAACCCCCATCTGAAAAAGATCGGTTTACATTTTAATAATCAATAAGTATGTGAACATAACCAATAACCCATAATCAATAACAAATACATGGAACTTATTTTATTTGTGTTGTTCATTCATATCTTATTTTACCTAGTTAACATTTATTTATGCATATTTTTTAATATCTCCAGTTTTAACCTGTTAAGCCCGAGAGACCCCGGCACCGGGGCACTGCTGCAACATCTTGCAGGAAACAGTGTCTGAGGGCATGTTCATTTAATAAACTATGAATGTTTTATATCCATGTAACGGGAAGAAACTCATCTAACTGATAATTTTTTTTTTTTTTTTCAAAAGAAAACCCACAATGCTAACACTGAGCCTCTGAATTAGCAACGAGCGAAAAATGCTAACACCTTACTGCACCGAAAATCACTCAGAAAACCTTATTTATCTCTTCTCTACATCCATGACATCGTTTCACATCGTGAGGTGACACAGAATCGATTGACACCGACATTACCACTGAATTATACGTATTTGCGACGTTATAAGCAAAAACGGACATCAAAACAGGTGACGCTAGGTAGCTAAAAATGCTAACATTTTTACCTTGGCTCTGTAGTCTCTCCAAAGTGGTCTTCAATGGCATTAAAACGATAAAAACGCTGCTGAAGTTAATCCATAGGTTAATCCAATGTGTCTGTGTCCCTTTGAAATGATTTCTGATAATCCATAAGCATTAAAACTGCTTTTCCGTTTCCAGATGTCAAAGCTAGAGATAGCTTCACTCTGAAGCCCCCACCTCTTCTCTTCACAACGTGTGTGTGGGGGAATCCCCCTTCGATTCTATTGGCTCTAACGGTCAGAAAGAGGTGTCAACCATCAAAATCGAGCAAGGGGGGCCAGAGATATGGAAAATCCACCCAAATGACCCCAGAAGTGGTTTCTTTTTGCTAAATCTCTCTAAAAAGGTCAAATGTCACTTGTTTTGCATCAATCTTGATACAGGGTACTTATTATATGTTGTACTTTGGATTCCTAAAGCTTTTAGTCTACTAACCCATCATCCAAGGGTAGTTTTCACTATAAGTAAAAAATAATTTTTGGACGGACACTATAATTTACAGTTTTTTACTATGTAAAATCTGAATTTTCTTTAAAATAAAAAACATCTATATTGATTCTGACTTTTCTAC